CCAGCTCATTTAATTGCCTTAATATTATCTGACACACTTTTTTTGAGTGACTTATATTCTTAATTATAGTTAAGTGCAGGCAATTCGGTTAAAAAAAATATAAACACTTCAGATTTGCTTTTGTGGTGACTGTGATTGGTAACTCGAATCTGGCCATGGAGAGGAGACCTGTGTCTCATCCTTGGAAAGGAGGCGTATGTATTAACCTTTGGAAAGTACACGTGTGTCTCAGCCTTGGAGAGGAGACACTTGTCACTCATGCCTGCTCAAAAACTCGAGTCACCCATCACACCTGTTCGTGCACCCATTCCTGCACCCATTACGTCTGCTCCTCTACCCCCGAGTGAAGCCACGCGCAACCTTCACTTTCATCCCTTCACTCGACCTTACACTCAACCATCTTCGTCACGACCAGTTCAATGGATGGGAGGGAGGGCGAGAGCGGGCGATGGATGGGGGAGAGGTGCAAGGGAAGGGAGAGAGAGAGCGGCGAGGGAAGGGAAGAGTGGGCTGGGGAGAGGACTAGAAAGGCGAAACGGACAGAGACTTAGAGATAACAGACGAAATGTGTAATATATATATGAGAACAACTACTAAAAATTACATAGCAGTAGGTAAAAGCAGACTCGACAATCCGCGGCCAGGCTGTGTTTGTCCTCCCTACGGTCGACCCCAACCCCACACTCAGGCTATCCTTGAATAAGTGGCTGCCATACCAAACCCATCTTCCTCCCATATCTCGCTATCTCTCTAGCTATGTCTCTATCCAGCTATCTCACTCTCCTTTCATCTCCTTCCTCTTTCCTCCCTTGCGTCCTCCCCCCCCCCCTTCCCTCAAGAAGCACTGAAATAAATGTTTGGGGTTTCTAAGTAGCTTTCTTTATATCTTCTTCTCTTCCCTTAATACATTCTTGTTTCATTTCAGTAGCAACTCCACGTTATTCACACCACATATTTCATACTCAACGCCATGAAAATGTCCTAGGGATGTTTATTAATGCTAATGTTCCTTAAAGCATTTAACTTAATGTTACCCCGACCAGCCTATGTCCGTCGTGTAACCCAGACCATTTTCCCTTGTAAGTTTGAGTGAGACTAGCCCCAAGCGTCTGGTCTCCAACTATGGACATACTGGGAATGATTTAGGCTGGTCAGGGTAGGCCTAAGATGAATGCCTTAATCATTACAAGCCTTTATAGACACCCCCTCTCTCCCATGTGATTTTCATGGAGTCAAGTGCGAAATATTTGGCGTGTTTTCCTTAGAGTTTTTGGGGATCGTAATAATATATTTTCAGAAAGTCCCACATAGATGTTTCAGTGCTTTTTAATTTTATTAAATTTCCTTAAATCTTTATATTAAGATTAAAAATTTAAATTAAGATTTAAATTTTGTTTAAAGATTAAAGGGAGTGGGAGGGGAGGGAAAGGGGTAAGTAGGAGGCAGGAAGAAGGGAAAGGAACGTAAGAGAGGAAGAAGGGAAGAGAGCAGAAGAAAAAGAAGAGGAGGAGGAGGAGGACAGCTTCTCCAAAAAAAGTAGCTTGAGAAATTCCATCAGTATGAAATTTTTCAGCAATACTGGAAAAGATTACAGAGGTACATAATGAGCTCAGCAACTGGACCCCCCCACCAAAACAAATGTAATTTAGCTAATCAGGTTAGCATAGAGACCGGCCGTCAACATGTTCAGCCAGACTAGGCCAGAAGCCGTCAAGGTGAGCAGCGCCGAAGGGAAATACCTCGACCTGTCCTGAGGGGTGCATTCTTGCAGCTCCCGCCCACCACCTGAGCGGCCACACCCGCTCTCAATTGCAATTTTTTGGTCCTGATGCGATAGTTCTCTTCGTTTCTTTCGCCTTAATGTGAACACAATCACTAGCGTTTGTAAGACAAGCAGAGGAGGCAAGTATGCCAATATTCGTTAATGCTGTACGATACATTTTCCCTCTAACCTGGATACCAAGTGTTCGATTGTTAGCAAAGTAGGTGACCTTTAGACGCATATAGACATATATATATATATATATATATATATATATATATATATATATATATATATATATATATACCTTTGGAGCCTATAGGTACAGGACAGCACCGGTAAAGGGCTCAGCCTTAACCCTGCTGTTGAACGTAAATGAACATTATACATGTTTATATTTATATATATATTACGCAGCGTGCGAGACTGACCTTTACAAAGGCTCCAGAGGCGTCACAGGATCAGCGGCAGGACTAACTGTACTCTGGGTCGCCGGCCCCACAGGTTCTCCTCCTAGTACTGACCAGGATTCATTCTGTACCTGCGGGCTCACCATAGCCCGTGCTACTTGGAACTTTGTGTTCCAGGTAGCGAATCTTAAACAACAAGAATCATTCTGTAGTCAACATTAAATTATTGAAATGCAAATTTTCATAAATTTATTGTTCTTTAAGATACTTTGAAATGTGCAATTTCAAATAATTGATAGCATCTGATGATTTTGGGATGTTTTTTTTCAGTAAATCAAGTGTTGATCAAAATCAATAAAATGCAATAAATCGAAACTCGGGTCTTGTAAATTATGTGAAAATGAATTAATTTATATATTATTTATATATATTATTTATATATATTATATATTATTTATCTACTGCCAGAGGAAGTTGTGCGAGATCTTCTTGAGGTTATCTTGAGGTGATTTCGGGGCTTAGCGTCCCCGCGGCCCGGTCCTCGACCAGGCCTCCTTTTCGTTACACCTCCCTCCCCATCCAGGAAGCAGCCTGTAGCAGCTGTGTAACTCCCAGGGACCAATTTACTGCTAGGTAACAGGGGCATTAGGGTGAAAGAAACATTTTGCCTATTTGTCTCCGCCTCCACCGGGGATCGAACCCAGAACCTCAGGACTACGAATCCGAAGCACTGTCCACCCAGCTGTCAGGCGCCTATGATGGCGAGATGCCAACAAGTACAACCCAATTTCCGTTCTCCTAACCATAAGGATTTCGCTTAATTATCCTGTAATCTCTCCAGCAAGACAATTTGCTTATGCCTGCAGCAAAAGCCGGTGCAAGGCAACTTCGTTGAGTAACCTTGCGAGAGCCAGAAGGAGTGAAAAAAGCAAGAGAGCAGGATAGGGCGTGCAACGTCCGGCCTGCAGGCCAAAAAGGGTTTGTTTTGGCGCGCACGGTGAAGGCTGAGAGGCAATTGTGGCGGGCTTTGTCCCACGTGATTGGAATGTCGAGATGGCCTCCGGCTGGTGAAGGCGAGCCATGCTGCGTCTGAGTCCCTTTAAAACAGCGAAAGTGTTGGTGTATTTGGAGGGTTTAGAGGCATTTTTGTTCCATATGTAACAATACCTGAAGTAGAAGAACAACTCGGACTGTGAATGAAATGAGTGAGAGCGTCAGGTTCGATCTAAATCTCACATAGTGATCAGTGAGGACATTAGGTTCATTACCCATTTTTATAAGGTATTTAAATTGATATATAATGGTAACTATAAATGGAAGTCCTTTGGTCAAGAGTAATTGTATCAGGGAAGATAAACAACTAGTGTTAGGTATGGAGGGCACCATTTGACCCGCCGTCTCTTCTTACATGAGAATATTATTATAACTTTCTTGTGGGTCCATTAATGTCTTTATATTTATAAATGATAATATTCTTATAACTTTCTTGTGGGTTTCATTAATGTCTTTTTCGTGAGAATGATGGTTAGAGAACCACAGGCATTTACAGTACAGAAAGTTTGGGTTAATTGCACTGTAACTCACTCGCTTTAGAGTTGAGTATGAAAGATTACTGAAGTTATGTCGGTTAAAGTACGGTTAAAGTGTCACTACACTTAGTAACATATTTGTATCCATAGCCGTAATTCCAGATATATGTGCAGGCGATGAGTCACAATAACGTGGCTAAAGTATATGTGTCCAGATATATGTCACCTAGCCTAGTTGCAGATTTGTATCTCTAGGCTTAGTTTTAAATTTGTTTCCCTAGGATTAATTCCAGCTTTGTGTTCCTAGTTTCAGTTACACGTTTGCGTTCCTATGTTTAGTTACAAATTTGAGTTCCATGACCAAACTGTATATATATATGTGTCCCTGGGCCTAGTTACATATTTAATCCCCAAGGTCTAGTTAGAGAAAGTGGTGGAAAAAAATCAGCAATATCAGACAAAACAATACCATTCACCAGTCAAGGTCACGTTTTCAGTAGTGAGAGACGAGAGTAGGAGTGCCAGCCAAACATACATGGACTATAATCATGTAGGAAGTTCCTTCATCAGCACTCTGATTCCTTGTACTCTGAGAGCCAAATGAGAGTCTTTTCTAAGCTTCTCATTGTCAAGCTGAATAAATAGTTGTAACTGGTGCTAGAACAAACTAAGAGTCTATGACATTGACGTACTTAAAATGTATAATAATGTACCTCGGACGAAGAGCTCCTCGATGATTGTAGGAATCATTTAATATGCATCGAAGTGAAAAGAACTTTGTATTAAACTATTCGCTAGATCTCTTCGCTCGAATTAGCAGAGGAGTCTCATATCCCTCGGTTCACGTAAATACAGTCGTATCTGTGTTGTATATTAATCTCAGAGGAAATCAACTGGAAAGGAGATGAAAATATTAAAGTGTTCTAAAAAATTTTAAGGTCTTCTCTGAATACTCCTAATTTTATTCTCCGAGGCTATGGGGTCCACATATATATATATATATATATATATATATATATATATATATATATATATATATATATATATATATATATATATATATATATATATATATATATATATATATATATATATATTATATATGTATTTGTATATAACATACGGACGTGTCTATTAGTACTTATTATCATTGATACATATTATTATTATTATTATTATTATTATTATTATTATTATTATTATTACTTCACGAATTATATCCACATCCCCATATGTCTCCCCACCACCCCTCACTCACTCTCCCCTCTCCCTCACTCACTCTCCCTCACTCTCCCCACAGCGTGTACTGGCACTAGCTGTGGACCGCAGGAGTCGTTTACCGAGCGGTGGACAATGCCTCTCATGAAGCTGGGGGACAAGCGGTATTACCTCGGTATATTCTTCAAGGTATGTATGCATGTACTGGGGAGGAGGGAGGAAGGGAGGGCCTTACGATGGAGGCTCTACTCTATCACTCGTACCGGGGATATACTGTCATGAGTATACTGGGGTATGCCCGTTACGAGGGTTCTGAGATATATATGCTGTCACGGGAACAGAGGTATGTCGAAATGGGTAGCTTACTGGGGTGTACAGTCATGGGTAGGCTTTTGGGTATGAAGTCATGGGGTAACTCTCTGTGATAAACTTGTCATGGGTACCGGGGAATACTATCATGGGTACTTGGGAAGGCTCAAATAGGTACTGAGATATGCTTGCAGGCGTGCATGGGGTATACTCTCACTGAGAGATATTCTCTCACCTGTAAGGAAAGCTCAGAGATTGAGAGGAAGATGGCATCTAGACAGGGTATTAAACATACAAAAAAACATATATAATGAAACAAATTATATGTAACGAAGGTATGTTTAAGCTATACAAAAGTGGTATACAAGTGAGTATATCACTGATAGAAAATGGAAAGCTGGTCGATACATGTTAGTAGGGTTTAAGCTGATAGCTATGGGCATGAGTTCTTAAGTAGTGAGATGCTGGGTGTTAGATTCTAGGTGTTAGAATCTAGGAATATACTAAGGGAAAATATAGTCAGGGTATACTGCCGGGAAGGAGTGGAGCGTTAGAAAGCTGGGTTTAACAATATAATATATTGTATGTTAATAGTTTATACAGAGCATGACTGACAATACCGTCCTCTGGAAATAAATAACCCAACCAGCACTTTTGGTTAGAAAGAGAAGGGACAACGTTTCGAACCGTCCTGGAGCCATGTGAAGCCCGACGTTTCGACGCGACACGGGTCTAGAAGGAGTCGAAACGTCGTTACTTCCATTTCCTATGAGTGGATTGGGCTATTAGTTGATTATAATTAATAATAATGACAACTTTACTCCAGGTAATAAGATGGCTGTAGATTTCTGCCTCCTCTGATTTACTACTTTTACTGCTTGTTCTTTTACTTGTATTTCTCATTTTCCTTCTCTACTATTTTTTAAATAATTTCTCCTTCATTTGTTCTTTATTAGTTACCGTCTCCTTTATCTTGTCTTTTATTGTTTAATTTCTTATTTGTTCCTATTTAGCTCATTAATCAGCTTAGGGTTTAATGGAACTAGGACGGTAAGTCTAATCAGGTACCTTACAAAATGCAGTCATTGCATTCTAAAAATTATTGGATATTATATACTTGTATTTTAAAGATTTTCTGTAATATTAGATCACTGTAATAAGAAAGTTGATATTATTAGATTATTTCAGTTATTATTATTGAATTATTATCATTCAATAACAATACTTATTAGTATATTTCATTGTCAAATTACTAGTATATTTCATTGTCATTATATATATATGTTCATTACACCTCAATTAACAGACTACTCTGTTAAAAATAAAGCATTCAAAATGTTTACTTTTGAATATATATTAGTGTTTTTAGTATCAATAATGTTGCCAATTTTATTAGGATTATTATTGATATGAGTTAACTTTTATTAATATTATTTATATTGCAATTATTCTTCATCACAATTTATTATTATTATTATTATTATTATTATTATTATTATTATTATTGTTATTATTGTTGTTGTTCCTGTTATTGTTATTGCTCGCCAAGTGCAATAGTGTTATATTGAAGAACAGTGACGAGTGTCATGAACGCATAACATCCATAAAACAGCCCAATACCCACTCGTGATCACAATCACTATTGGCTTAAAATGGAGATTGAAAAAAACCATTGTTTTCCACTCGTTTTTCTCCCCCATCACCAAACGTTTCATCTCTAACAAAAATAATATTTAGAATTTATCGAAATATGAATTTTTGTTAATTCGGATATTTGTTTGGTTTATAAACAACATAATTAATGGCTAAATACCTTTTTAGTCGTATTCAATTGTGGTTATAATGTCATCATTTATTCCTTTGACGTTCAGAGTGATGAGCAAAACACGGGAGATTACCGTTGATTGATATAACGTTGGTGAAAACGACACGCGGAAACGGTGCTCGGTAGCGTTATTCGGTAACGGTACTCGGTAATAATACTCGTGAGTGAAACTCCGTAATGGTACTCGGTCACAGTATTCGATAACCTTAAAAAAATAGCCCCAGTGGAGCAATCGGTTAGCGCACGGTACTTATTTACACAGAAAAGGTACATAAAAGAGGAACAAAGAAATTGTGTATCAGCCACAGAATACTTAATCAGACACGAAAATAGTGCACAAAAACAAGCCACATAAACTGCATAAAGAAATATTCCACGTAAACGTCATGGGAAAATTTGGCACATAAAGAGCGTAAGGAACAGAAACACGAACCGTTAATGGGAAGGGTAGGCTTGAAACGGGGGGCAAGAACTGAGTAACAAATAACGGCATGGAAATGGGTGGAGAAATAGGGTTCAGAACTGGGTAACGAAATAGACACGCAAATGGGTAGGGACACACACACACACATGGCACGAAACTGAGTAGGGAAATGGTGTACGAGACTGGCACAAGTAAATGGTACAGAACTACGGAAACAGGGTACGAAAAGTACATCAACGGGACATGACAACGGAGCACCGGAAGGAGGCATAGCAACGGGGAATATTTATTCCAACCATATATATATATATATATATATATATATATATATATATATATATATATATATATATATATATATATATATATATATATATATATATATATATATATATATATATATACGATCAAACATAGGCCTACGATGGCGTACATTAGTTCTAGTGATGATTATTTAGGTATAGGATATTAGGCCTAATTGATTATTTAGGACTTTATTTTACCCAGATTAAAGGTAAAATTTCTGTTCCATTTTTAGAATCCTGTTTTCGAGGATTCCAATAATACAAAATAAGACTTTTTTTATACAACAGTCTACTTTTGTACGTTCGACCAACAGTTGCAATAAGTACTATCCTTTTTGGAGGATGGGTTGATAAACATATATATACAAACAAATAATATTTATTAAGAGAGTTTTCCTCCTCTTGTAACCACAATATTCGAATACTCATGAAGAATACTCATGAGGACAGCAGGCTGTGAGGAGCGGCCGCCTCATTAATTTAGAGTCCCTGCGTTTTTGTGCCCAAATTGGCCACATGCTAATTGAAAAAAAGCTGCAGATTAAAAGTTATTTTGGATAAAAACACACACAAGTTGTGTGTATCTTTTATTATTTATGTAATAAACACACACACATACACTCTGTTTATGTACTCGTATAGTTGTGTTTGCAGGGGATGAGCTCTGGCTCTTTGGTCCCGCCTCTCAACTGTCAATCAACTGTTTCTATTACTACTATTTTTTTCCCCCACACCACACACACACACACACACACACACACACACACACACACACACACACACACACACACACACACACACACACACACACACACACACACACACACACACATAACACACTAGGAAGCAGCCAGTGACAGCTGACTAACTCCCAGGTACCTATTTACTGCTAGGTAACAGGGGGCATAGGATGATAGAAACTCTGCCCATCGTTTCTCGCCGGCGCCCGGGATTGAACCCGGGACCACGTGCCAGCGTGCTGTCTGCTCGGCCGCCGGCTCCCGGGTGTGTGCTTGTGCGTGTGCGTGTATGTGTGTACTCACCTAATTGTGCTTGCAAGGGGATGAGCTTTGGCTCTTTGGTCCCGCCTCTCAACTGTCAATCAAGTGGTGTACAGATTACTGAGCCTACTGGGCTCTATCATATCTACATTTGAAACTGTGTATGGAGTCAGCCTCCACCACATCTCTTCCTAGTGCATTCCATTTATTAACTACTCTGACACTGAAAAAAATTCTTTCTATGGTCTCTGTGGCTCATTTGGGTACTAAGTTTCCACCTGTGTCCCCTTGTTCGTGTCCCACCCGTGCTGAAGAGTTTGTCTTTGTCCACCCTGTCAATTCCTCTGAGAATTTTGTAGGTGGTTATCATGTCTCCCCATGCTCTTTTGTTTTCTAGGGATATGAGGTTCAGCTCCTTTAGCCTTTCCTCGTAGCTCATTCCTCTCTGTTCCGGGACGAGCCTGGTGGCATACCACTGGATCTTCTCTAACTTTGTCTTGTGTTTAACTAGGTATGGACTCCAGGCTGGAGCTGCATACTCCAAAATTGGTCGTACATAAGTGGTATACAGGGTCCTGAACGATTCCTTACACAAATTTCTAAAGGCAGTTTTTAAGTTGGTCAGTCTAGCATATGCTGCTGATGATATTCCTTTGATGTGGGCCTCTGGTGACAGGTTCGGTGTGATATCAACCCCCAGATCTTTCTCTCTATTTGACTCATGCAGAATTTCACCTCCCAGATGATACCTTATGTTCAGCCTCCTGCTCCCTTCGCCTAATTTCATTACCTTACACTTTCCTGAGTTGAACTTTAGCAGTCATTTTCTAGACCATTCCTCCAGTTTTTCCAGGTCATCCTGTAGTCTCTGTCTATCTTCATCCGTCTTGATTCTTCTCATAATTTTTGCATCATCAGCAAACATTGAGAGGAATGAGTCTATACCCTCCGGAAGATCGTTCACATATATTAGAAACAGGATGGGTCCAAGTACTGAGCCCTGTGGGACTCCGCTGGTGACATCTCGCCACTCTGATGTCTCCCCCCTCACCGTTACTCGCTGTTTCTTGTTGCCTAAGTACTCCCTTATCCACTGGAGCACCTTCCCTTTTACTCCTGCCTGATGCTCCAACTTTTTTACAGCCTTTTATGGGGAACTGTGTCAAAGGCTTTTTGGCAGTCCAGGAAAATGCAGCCGGCCCACCCTTCTGTGTGTGTGTGTGTGTGTGTGTGTGTGTGTGTGTGTGTGTGTGTGTGTGTGTGTGTGTGTGTGTGTGTGTGTGTGTGTGTGTGTGTGTGTACTCACCTAGTTGTACTCACCTAAT